GGACTATTACTCATTTACTCTAGCATCAACGAATTGGATTCATAATGTTTCTAAATATTTTGACCGAAAAAATATGTGTGTGTGTATATACATGTATACTATATAAACTAATTATATTTATTTACTTTGCAGTACCCAAGCCCATCTCTACCTTTGTAAGTGGAGAACACACTAATAATCTCTAATTATATTTCAGAAATAATTTCTCCTTTTAATCTAGGACACATGGACATTCCAAAGAATAAAACTATCTCATGTCACAATAATCTATTTTCCAAAGACTGAGGTGTATCAAATCATTAGGTCATTTTTCTTTTCTCATTTCAGTCTTGGCAGGATCTGAGGGCACGTGCCAAACATGAAGAAGGCTTTTGGCAACATGAGTAATATCCGAATTTTAGATTAGTGTCTGTGTGCTTGATTCATCAGAACATTTCAGTTGAAACAAAGTTAATCTCCTCAGTAATAGGATAACACCACCTAGTTTTTCTGGGTTGTGAATAATTGTGCAACCAAATTGATTGATCTGCATAGTAAAATAAATATATTTGTAATTACCCTAGCAACTTGCTACTTGTGTTTGAACTAGAGCCTAGGTACTGGAAAGATAGGAAGATTTCTTGCTGTAAAGACTCATTTCCTACATTACCTACCAAATGGCCATGAAAAGAGATATAGTACTGAAAGTGAAATTTGGATTAATGTTATTTAATTTGAACATTAAATCTAAATAAGCTCTGGATACCTAGAAATAACAAAAAGAAATGAGAGGAAAAGTTATGCCATTAGAGGGCACTTTTGTAATCTTAGAGAGGTTTGTTCTTATAAACTGACTTAACCAAGACTTACGTTAAAGAATGAATTTTCAGGTGTTTATTTAAAGTGAGTAATTCTTAAACTAAATGTCTGAGAGAGAATATTTTATGGTAGGGAAAAAATCTATAAAATCTTAAAACTACCATTTAAATAATATTTATGTAAAGATTCAATTTTTGATCAGTGAATATAAGTTGTAAAAATACACACACAATGTATCTGCACAGTAGTGTTTTGATTAGTTATATTCATTGCCTATTTTAAATAAATTGTGTTAAAAATATTCTGCCTGTAACCTCATCAAGTTGAACAAATGGTTAATGATTCCTAATATTCAAGTTTTTCCTCAATAGTAGTTGAATATTATTATTAATAGAGAACATCTTGGAAACCATAATCTGACAATATAAATTCTTGCATTTTGGACCATACTAATTTTAAACACTTTTCTGAAAAATATCTGTTTTGTCCATAACTGGTTTGGCAGTTAAGATGGTTAAAACTATTTCAGAAACAAAAAATGTGACCTGATAGAATTTTAGTTGGGGAAATATGATATTTTGGTAAAGCAAAAGATAAAGTTGAGTCTGTTCTCTATTGGTGGTAATCTAAAGTAAAATGTCTACCTTAGCCAATAAAGTAGGTAAACCAGTAAAATATATAAGTAAAAGCTTAGTGTCAAGAACTGTGAAGAGTTTGAGATTTTATCCCACTTGCAAACTAATAAATGTTTGCCATAGTTTCATGGATGCTGGAAGAATGAACGCTACTCCTGGGTCAGAGACTACGAACGTTATTACTTAGAGCAATAGCAGTAGGCACAGTACCATCATTTTATTTCACTATCTCCCTGACCTCCCCCCCCACCCCACCCAATTCCCATAGGATGATGCAAAGAGGACAGATGGCCCCAGCCCATGCAGTGGGTTTGTTGTAGAAGAGAAGCTCTGAGTTTAGGGAACCCAGATCTTTTTTTAATGGGTAACAGTTATGCCTGCCCTTTGCTTTAAAGACTCTGCCTTCCAAGGCTGTTCACTATACAAACATCCTGGAAAAGATAATGTGGAACAAGGGCAGTCAGTACTTCTGCTCCCAAGATAGGCAAAAACAAACACAGAGATACCTAACACTTACTCTCATAGTCTTATAATTTGAAATGTTAACTAATATTATATTGCTAAATAGCTGATGTAGAGAATATATAATAATTAGATTTACCATATCTTAAGTCACCCATAGTACATAGTTTATATTTTTACATCATATGGTATTTGCTATGTGGCCTTACCTTTCTAAGCCTTGGTTTGATTATTTTTAATATGAGAAAAATGTAGCACCTACATCACAGGGTTGTTGCTGGCGTTGGATGAGATTATATATATATATATGTATGTATAACTTAGAAGAGTGCCTGGCATGCAGCATGTACACAACAAAGTTTATTAATATTGTTGTTATATCAAAATTCATCTTTTATAATTAGCTGATTTAATAAAGACAGCTTTTTTCCCCCCCAAAAGCAGCTGAGGATGCTGGGAAAATTCCTACCAATCATGACTAGCTATATCTCTGTCCCTGGGGCTGACCCACATATCCCAGGTATCCAGAGGCACTGGCCGCTGGTCCTGCTAAGTTGCACAGTGGCACAGCTGCGGTTGGCAAGTCTGTGGGCAAACACGGGGCCTCATGACCTGAACCTGCCCTCGAGTGGTGGCTCTGGGGCGGAAGTGCCTGAGCACCACACACTCACGTGCTCCCATGGCATGTTTGCTCTGCGTTCCTAACAAGTACAGAAAGCCACATCCTAGCTGTTTCTAGAGAGACTTTTTTTTTAATCGTCTGGCCTCTTCTGCTCTCAGGAGGCTAGAGTTAGGAATGGTACTACAAAGAGAAGTGACCTGAATGTGTTTGATTTTGTTAGAATAATAAATATTTCTAAACACAGGCAGCATATCAAATGCTACTCAGATTTTCCATTTCTCTTAGCTCTAGGCAAAGGGGGAGCAGGAGTCGGGGACGGGGGTGGTGAGTGGAGGTCCTGTGGGTTCAGTCGACCATTGTCCCTGTTTGGCCTTGATTTTGATCCATCCAGTCATCTTTTGTAGACATAACCCTTGTATACTCTTAGTAACTCGCCTGAGCTCCCACTTACAGCCCCAAATCCCCTGAGTTTCTCTTTGACAGTCATCTGGAGGTTTGAGGGACAGATTATCTGGAGGAAATTTAAGGCAGCCTGGTCTTATTCCTAAACTGGGATTAGGAATTCCCCTAAATTGGGAAGAGGAGTTTAATAGTCACAGAGTTGCTTCTCGTTAGAGATCACCTATCCAGACCCTTTACAGACTGAGGCCTGGAGTGGTTAAGTGAATTGTTTAAGATCATACATCTAGTGAGGAACTGAAACTATGCATCAAGTTTCTTAGCTCTCAGTTGAATTTTCTTTCAGTTGCAATACAATTAAGAAATAACAATGGGAAATAAAAACCTCTGTAAAAAATTATTGGGCTGTCTTGAGAGATATTAAAAAGGATGAAAGTTCTGGCTCTTCAGTCAAATCCACCTGGATTTGTGTCCTTTCTCTGCCTACATGATGAAGGTTTGTTCTTACACAATGGTAGCCCCACTTTACAGGGTTATTGTGAGGACTAACAGTAGGAAGGCAGTGAGTGAAGCATTGTGCTTTGTACGTGGTAACTAAATCACTGCAGGTATTTTGTATAGAAAGCTGCAGAACACAGGGCAGAAAACATATTTGGAAAAAAGAAGTTAAATACTTTTGAGCAAGCTCATGGTAAAAAAAACAAACTACTTTTCATGTCCTCATTATAAACAAGAAACAGTTTATTCCTTTCAAAAATATTTTTAGTTGTCCCGATCTATTTTTGGTAGCATTCAAAGAAAGATGAAATTAAAGTCCAATGATGTTTTAAGTAGAGGTTAATTATTCTTATCTGTAATACTGTCTATTGAAAAATAAAACTGGCATTCACCTCATCTTGAATAATCACAAATGTTTGCATTTGGCTTTCTCACAATTTAAAGTACTTAAATATGAAAACACTGTATTTCTGTAATGCATGAAATCTCTGATGTAAGTAAAGTGAAGAAGGTAGGGGAACATAATTCCTTACATAGCTCTTCCTGTGAGGAGAACGTGTACCAAATGATGCGGGAAGGCACATTCTTTCCCTCGCGCGTGACACGCCAAGAACTTGGGCACCTCAGTGTCGTTAGTGCTGAGCTATGTAGAAGCTGGTGTCTGACAACATCTCTACAGCGATGTGTAGTACAGTGGTCCATAATTACAGGTTTTTGATGAAAGTCCGTGGCAAATGCCAAAATGTAACTCAGTGAAAATGCTCTGCTAGAGATTAAGACAAATGGTCTACATATATGACTTTCCAAAGATCTGACTTGATCTGAAAGTGGGAGCCGAGCCCACATTCTAATATCGTAGGTGTGTGTATATCCACGTTGTGTTGAAGGGTCTGGGGACTCTGTAACAGCTAGACATAAGCAAGTAACTCATCTTGTGATTTTGGGCAAATTGCTTAACCTATGAGGGAGTTGAACTTCATAATCTCTAAAAATCTCTAATATATGAAATTTGATCTTGGAATAAGCATAATACTATATATGTATAATCCTTAGTCTAATTTTAAGGAAGAATAGAAATGACTGTACAGGGATAATTTTCTGGCTCTCGGTGGGTCTCTGTGACTTATGTTGAATGCAGTAGTTGGGCAGTGTCGGCAGTTAGCAGCTTGGCTGCAGAGCAGTGATGCCAACGAACCATCGCCATAGCTTTTATAACAGCTGAAAGAACTCACCCTAAGTGACCATTTTAGTATAAGCTTTGACACATTGATATAACATTGTCCATTAATGTCCATATAGGCTTCCGCCTCGGTGAAGTGAGGATTTTCTCTGAATACCCAGGGAAGTTAATGCACCAAGAATCCTTTCATTTCAGCATTTTTGTTATGTTTGAAATTCTGGCGAATTCATTCTCAACCTTGTAAAACAGTTTGAAGAAAAAGACTAGGAGAGTGGCCTTCAAGGTCATGTGCATGCATTCAAAATATATGATATGTCCCCAGGTTTCCATCAAAACTAAAATAATGTGAACCCTTTAGCAAGTTTTGCCTACAAAACTAACATAAGCGATCACTTCTGTTGCCCAGGATGGTGCTGCTCCACTGGTGTCTGCTGTGCTTCCTGTTACCCCTTGGCTCAAGGACCCAGAAGTTACCCACCCGGGATGAGGAACTTTTTCAGATGCAGATCCGAGACAAGGCATTTTTTCATGATTCATCAGTAATTCCAGATGGAGCTGAAATCAGCAGTTATCTCTTTAGAGATACACTTAAAAGGTATTCTCCCTGCAGTACTTTCTTTATCAAAAATCTCATAAAAGATGCTTCCAAAAAAGAAAACCTTTTAGACTTAGTTTAGGTAATTTGCAAACCAAGCTATGAATGGTGTTACTTATTTTCTCTAAGTAAGAAAGAAAAATGGCAATGCAACTTCTAATCATTAAATGGAGCTGTTTACTCTTGCTGATTGTGATCTCCTTTTGGGAAGAGGAGGCAATCCTTGCATTTCTTGCATTTTAGAATGGTTATTTTCTTATTTTCAGGACAGTAGGAAATTTCTAAGAAGGCCCCTGTAGGACTAAAATGAAATTAATTGAATATATGATTCTTCAAGGGTTTGCATTAAGTTTTATATGGATAATATTTCTTTGATGAATCTGATCAGATCCTGAGGGAATCAAACCAGTGATAAAAAGCTGACATTGTTCATTTACTTTTATGCCATCATCAAAAAATTGGGCTTGTATATGTTTCTAAATATTTTGACCTTTAAAAATTATATTCCTATCATATAAATAAAATATGTTTTACAAACTAATTAAATAAAGTTACTTATTTTACAGTGCTCAAACCCCTCTCTACATTTGTAGAACACATGGTTACTCTTTGGATAATTATATTTCAAACCCAATTTCTCCTTTTAACCTGGAGCACATTGACATTCCAAAGGATAAAACTGTCTCACACAGTCAGTAATCCATTTTTCGAGGATTGAGGTATCTCCCACCATTGGGTTATCTTTTCTATTTTGACCAGGAGTAATGGAAGGTCACACTCTGAATCTGTTCAATTTAATGGTCCACGGATATCCCTATCTGGTCAGTCTGAATGGTGCTCGGTGATGAGTTTTCCTACTTTGACTGAAGTGACCTATTGTTTAGGTAGCATTTCAGCATTGCCCGAGTGAAATTATTTATATGAATAAATGCAATGGACTAGGAACTGACTTGTCATGAATCTTTAAATGACATTCATGAGAGGGAAGGCACAAAACAAAAGGATAATCCCATAGAAGGAACTTGCTGTCTTGGTCCTTACTAAGACTCAAGTCTGTGAAAATAGAAAAGGGAATACAAAGCAGTCCTATTACTGCAAGTTAACCTTAACTATTAACTGAGTTCTCCCATGCTAGGACTAACCAGGCTCGACCCTGCTTAGCATCCGAGATCAGACAAGATTGGGCGCATTCAGGGTGGTAGGGCCTTCACGTTTTGTGTCTGCCCATAGCCCACTCATCCTCTGTCCCACATTCATCCGTGAGTGTGAGGGTGCACTTGTGCTGCCATTCAGATCCTGTCTTCACATAGAATCAGACTCTAGGTATATGTGTCCTCAGGCTGGAACAATAAGTTTGGTGTCAGAATTCTTGAGTTCTATTTATTCATTTAGTAATTCATTCATTCAAAAATGTTGACCAAGTACCTGCTTCATGCAGAAATCTGTGCTAAGTGCTGGGAATACGATGGCATGGAACATGAATCCTAAGTGGGCCTTTGTGGGGAAAATGACATTAGTCAAATAATAATAATACAATTATATAGTCACAAATGGCAATAAGTACCCTGAAGTAAAAAGTACTGGACACCCTGAGAATATATAAAATAACCTGATCCAGAATGAGACAGAGAAGGCATCTTTGAAGAAGTGACATTTAAATGTGACAAGGAGCAAAAGGGTGCATTTCAGGTAGAGAAAAACCACATCCCAAAGGCTCAGAGGTGGGGTGGAGTTGGGGGAACTAGAGAAGTCCTGTGTTCGGGCACAGAAAGTTGAAAGGGTAGTGTATTACGAAAGACTGGTGAGGTACAGGCAAATGTCCCTACTGAGGAGGTTTTAGACTATGTGAACAATCAAGGACTTTTTCCCTGAAGCTAAAATCCAAAGGTGTGAAGGTGTTCTAAGCTGGAAATCACGAAATAGATTTCCTTTTTCAGATTACTCTTGCTTCAATGTGAAGAATGATTTAGAGGTAGTGAAAGTAGATGTATGGGAAACAGCTATTCATTAATTCATTCAACAGATACGTATTGAGATTGCCTTGATGTCTTATAGCTTTCATTCGGGTTGAGGGAGATGGAAAAACAAACAAACAAAAACAAAGAAATATATAGCATGTCAGATAGTGGTAAGTGCTTTGGAGAACAATGGAGTGAAAGAGAGCTTTGTAGGTAGGATGGTGATATTTTACACCAGGGGTCAGCGTAGTTTTATTAGAAGACGGAGCTGGAGGAGAGAGTTGGGGAAGGGACTGAGCTGGCAAGGTCACTACCTGGAGGAGGAGGATCTCAGGTGAGGCCTGGGGCAGGAGTTTACCTCTGCTCCTGAGTAGAGGGGGAAGGAGAAGGGTTTAGATATCTGGTTGTAAGACATTGCAAGTTCTTATCTTGCATGAAACAAGAAGCTCTTGGAGGGTTTTGAGCAAGCCGGTGTGGAGTGTTTGACTTAGGTTCACTAGGACTGCTCAGCCTGCCTGGAGGGGGTGAATAAACTGAGGGGTCAAGGTGGAAGCAGGAAGCTCAGTCGGGCGGCTATTGCAATGCCCAGGCAAGAGGTAATGGTGGCTTGGATCAGGCAGTAACAGGTATAGTAGGACAAAGAGATAGACTCTGGATATATTTTACAAGTGAAGCCAAACGTGTCTGCTTATTCATAGTATGTTAAGTGGGAGAGGAAGTCAACAGTGACTGTACAGTGTTTGTCCTGCATGACTGGAAGGTTGGAGTGGTCATTTGCCGAGAAGGGGTAGACTGCAAGAGAAGCTGATTTGGGGGAAATAATCTGAAATTTGGATTAGATATCTTAAGTGTGAAATTCCCTTAATAGCTAAGTGAAGATGGCAAGGAGACAGTTGTAACTGGAATTTAGGCAAGAGTTCAGGATGAGGTTTTAAATTTGGGAGTGACTAACATACCAGAGGTTAAAGCCATGAGCCTGGTGAGGTCAAGCAGGGAGTGAGCACAGGTGAATAAGAGATATTCCAAGCACAGGCCCATGGTTCACTCCAGAAGTTAGAGTGTGGGGAGGTGAGAGGCTACTGGCAGAGGAGACTGCAGGTGTGGACGGCTCTGGAAAGCGTGTTGGTCTTAGTTATGAAGAGAACAGAGAGACAAGAGATGCCCAGGAGATTAAATCTATAGGAGGCAAAACCTGCTTTTCTTTGCCATGGAATCAGTGAGCAACTCTGGGCTTGCTAGAACTAAAATCACTGTTTCCTCATTTTCAGGATTATAGGCTTCGAAATATAATTAAGTGAAATCATCTAAGTCACTTGGAGTAAGACTATATAGTATTAATATTTTTATAGATAAGCAATAGTTCATGCATTTTAAAAAGTCTTTTGAGAAATCCCAATAAAGTCTGAGGAGAAAGCATAGAGCAGAACAGTTTGAATTTTTTAAATTTAAAAAAAATCATTAACTTATTTAATTCAACAGAAAATCTTGGTGATGGAGAAGTGATAGGCAAATGTATCTTTCCACTGACTGACACATTGGTCTTTACTTTTTAAAACTATTTCTCATATGGTGATTAGATACTGTTATTGAAAAAGATATGGAATAGCAAAGCTGTGAATAAAAGTCACTAATGTAAAAATGTGAATACAATGTTATTTTGCCAGAGATCAACATACATTTTAGAACTAAGTTGCTGGGAAGATGATCTTTCGAAATAGTTGTGACTATGTCAGAGTACCCTCAGTGTAATGTACAAATTTATCACCAAAATTATGGAAAACAGAGCATCTGTAGGAAAACAAACCTGGAAATTTCCTTGATTGTGGCTTATTTTGCAATGGCAGGGCCTACGCTAAATAACACCCAGACACTGGTGATTATTGATTTTTAAGTCAAAATACTATTGGTTCAATGTCTTTTGATTATTTCATACTGTGTTTGCTGATGAGAAATCTGGCTGCAGAACCTTGAGCTGCTGGACTTGCACAATTAGTGCTGTCAGTATCATGTTTTGTGCCAAATAGCAAGTTTCAGTCTCTATTATTAAATGAAAATAAAATGAAATTTTATGAAAGTCTTTTGAAAATAAAAACCAAATGATTTTTCCACTAATTCTGGATTGTAAATGTTAAAAAGAATTATCATGGTCTAAACGGAGTTCACTTTCCCACAGGTATTTCTTTGTGGTTGAAGAAGACAATACTCCACTATCCGTCACCGTGACTCCCTGCGATGCGCCTCTGGAGTGGAAGCTGAGCCTGCAGGAGCTGCCAGAGGAGACAAGCGGGGAGGGCTCAGGTACACAGCAGGACATATCTGGGCCCAGACCCCTGAATGGATGGTTAAAAGGCTTGTGGAACATGCGACCTTCTGTTAATAAGAATAAAAACAGCATAGGTGCCCAGGTGAACCTGGAGATTTTGAGGTGGAGATAATGTAATGGGTGATGGGGAGATAGCATCAGATGACATTGATCTTGGTATAGGAAAAAGTTAAGAGAGACAGGTAGGGGGACTGAGGATTGAGGGGAAGGGGAGCGCTTTGGACTAGTCTCTGTGGCTGTGGTTTTCAGTCTTGCCTGAACATTTAAACCATGTATAGGGCTTTAAAAATTGCTGCTACTCTGGGAAGCCGAGGCAGGAGGATTGCTTAAGGTCAGGAGTTTGAAACCAGCCTGAGCAAGAGCGAGACCCCATCTCTACTAAAAATAGAAAGAAATTAATTGGCCAACTAATATATATAGAAAAAATTAGCCAGGCATGGTGGCGCACGCCTGTAGTCCCAGCTACTCAGGAGGCTGAGGCAGAAGGATTGATTGGGCCCAGGAGTTTGAGGTTGCGGTGAACTAGGCTGACCCCATGACACTCTAGCCTGGACAACAACAAAAACGAAACAAAACAAAAAACCCAAAATTGCTGCTGATGCCTGGATCTTGCCCTTAGAGGTGCCAATTTAATTGCCGTGGGGTGTGGTCTGGACACTGGGATTTTTAATCCCTCCCCCCACTGGGTGATACCAATATGCAGCCAAGATTAAGAGCTCTGATCTCTAGACAGAGAAAAGACACGCAGTTCAAGGTATCTGCTGTCACAACTCCAGGGGTGGAATAGCGGTAGAAACAGAAGCAGAGAGGCATTTAGCAGAAACGACAGTCAGTAGGTGGAGTGGGTTAAGCTTTTAAAGAAGATGCAGATGATGGAGAGCAAGAAAACAAGATACAAGGGAAATGAAAAGAGTCTGTATGGGGCCCTGGAGTGGGGCTGCTCCTTTTAAGGGCATCATAGCTTAAAGGTGAAGGCTTAGTGACTTAAGAACTTTGCCCTGCAAAGGATGCGTGCAAGCTGTGGTGCTTACAAGGAAGAGTGTGGCATCCTCATTAAGAAAATGGTGGCAGTCCTATGGGGGGTGATGCGACTGAGGTATAGAAAATGAGTCCTGATGTTAACATAGCCGTGTGACGATTGTGTTCATCCCACGGGTTGGGAATATAAAACTCTACACATCTCACTTTCGATCTGCAGTGATAAGCTGGAAGAGGTTTGTTCCCACATTGGCTACCCAATCCTTCACCTGGTCTTAGAACTTACCTTCACACTGACGGCTGTGTGATGTCTGATTTGAACAGTAACAAAGATGGAAGACATTGGTTTGGCTTCAGTACTTTCCCTGTGTTATACCTGGGCACATAGTCTAGGTGTAGAACATCAGGCATTCTTACTGGTGCTTTACAATCTGTATTTTAATCAGGTTTTCTAGTCTGCCTAACAATAGTGAAATTAGTGAAATGGATACATATCAAAATGCAGACTGATAGAATCCTTTTCGTAAGCAGATTGACAGGACTAACAATTTCTAAAAAGTTTACAATCTTTGACCAAAAATGTCCACAAATTGGATTCTGGGAAAATCCTTACACATATACAAGAGCACTACTTATAATGATCAAAAACTGGCTAACAGGATTGTTTTTATGATGTAATATTAGCTAAGAAAAACAGGATTCAAAAACTAGAAGTTTATCTAGGTACAGATATGCTTGGGAATAAATGTTACTAAGTTACAGAGAAAAATTAGAAAATAATATCAATTGCACAAAACAATTATAATGTTTTGGATAATGGATTTGGATAATGGATAATGAATTAATGGATAATTTTTTTATCTTGTTAATTTTTCTCTATTTCCCAGTTTTCTACTATGAACATGTGTTATTTTTATAATGGAAAAAAGTAAGATAAACTCAAAGCACGACTTAGAGCTGGCAAGCCACGGTGTGTGCCCTGACACGTAGCCTGTGCTTCTCTTGTATCTTCTAGGTGATCCAGAACCTCTCGAGCAGCAGAAGCAACAGATCATTCCTGAAAAAGGCACCGAGTTATTCTCCTACAAAGGCAACGATGTTGAGTATTTTATATCTTCTAGCTCCCCATCTGGCTTATATCAGCTGGAGCTTCTTTCCACAGAGAAAGACACACATTTCAAAGTCTATGCCACCACAACGCCAGAGTCCGATCAGCCATACCCTGAATTACCGTATGACCCAAGAGTAGATGTCACCTCCCTGGGGCGCACCACGGTCACTCTGGCCTGGAAGCCGAGCCCCACAGCCTCTTTGCTGAAACAACCCATCCAGTACTGTGTGGTCATCAACAAAGAGCACAATTTCAAAAGTCTCTGTGCAGCGGAAGCAAAACTGAGTGCAGACGACGCTTTTATGATGGCCCCAAAACCTGGTCTGGACTTCAGCCCCTTTGACTTTGCCCACTTTGGGTTTCCTCCAGACAGTTCGGGCAAAGAACGCAGCTTCCTAGCAAAGCCTTCTCCGAAACTGGGGCGTCCCATCTACTCGAGGCCCAAGGCTGACATTCAGAAAATCTGCATAGGAAACAAGAACATCTTCACCGTCTCTGATCTGAAACCCGACACGCAGTACTACTTTGATGTCTTCGTGGTCAACAGCAACAGCAACACGAGCACCGCTTATGTGGGTACCTTTGCCAGGACCAAGGAAGAAGCTAAGCAGAAGACAGTGGAGCTAAAAGATGGGAAAGTTACGGATGTATTTGTTAAAAGGAAGGGAGCAAAGTTTCTACGGTTTGCTCCAGTCTCTTCTCACCAGAAAGTGACCTTCTTTATTCACTCTTGTCTGGACACGGTCCAAATCCAAGTGAGAAGAGATGGGAAACTCCTTCTGTCTCAGAATGTGGAAGGCATTCGTCAGTTTCAGCTGAGGGGAAAACCTAAAGCAAAATATGTCATTCGACTGAAGGGAAACAAGAAAGGAGCATCTGTGTTGAAAATACTGGCCACCACAAGGTCCGGCAAGCAGGCGTTTCCCTCCCTTCCTGAGGACACACGCATCAAAGCCTTTGACAAGCTCCGTACCTGTTCTTCAGCCACTGTGGCTTGGCTAGGCACCCAGGAAAGGAATAAATTTTGCATCTACAAAAAAGAAGTGGATGAGAGCTACAATGAAGACCAGAAGAAAAGAGAGCAAAACCAATGCCTAGGACCCGAGACCAGGAAGAAATCAGAAAAGGTTCTCTGTAAATATTTCCACAGTCAAAACCTGCAGAAAGCAGTGACCACAGAAACAATTAGAGGTCTTCAGCCTGGCAGATCTTACTTGCTGGATGTTTATGTCATAGGACATGGGGGGCACTCTGTGAAGTACCAGGGCAAGGTTGTGAAAACCAGGAAGTTCTGTTAGTCACCTGATTATAGAGATATATTATGTAGAACTCCAGGAGGGACATTAAATCACGTGAAGTATAAACTGACTACTCCCACAGCTGAGAGAAGTTGTGACCTGTACTTGTACTGTGGAAGGAAGGATACCAGCATGTGTGTAGTGATGTTTATAGAAGTAACCGTTGGAGGAGGCTTGTTCTAATGTGCCCTGTGGTACCTAGTGTGCGTCTGATGCCAGCTGGTGTCAAAGAGGACTTCTTGAAAAAACTGCCAACCCTTGCTTTGACCACTTGCATGAACTGCTTCTAAATTATTTTATTACCTAAAAGTTTAAAATATGCCATTCATTGCACACATCCATAAATGCAAATCATTCCTCTCTATAGATGCTAGAATATATATAAATTATTTTATAAAGTCTTGTTTTAAATGTCGTTTCTATGATTGTAAACTATTAAATTCTTTTCCTGTTAAAGCACAGATCTAACCTAAGTATTATTAAGTGGACAGACCTTTAGTCATCTTATATTGCTATTGTAAATTCTTATTTGTTGAGTAAAATGTTTAAATACTGTATGTATCTCATGTACAAAGTTGACATACATTATATTCATGTACATAAAATTAAAGATATTAGATTATATACTGTTCATTTTCCCAAGCAGCTACCTTGGTGTATTCAATTTCTAATCTGTCCCTAAAACTGCACCTTTCTGTAATTTGGTACCAAAATGGACCCTTTTTCAATAGTTAAAAAGGGATGCCGCATCTCTCGGAAGTTACTTTGGCATTAGAAACAGCTATTAAAATCTGTATTTTGACCTTGACTAGAAGCCGGCTGTGGTGAGAGATGGGAGAGTTATGATAGACTTTGGGCAAGAATAGGACGGGCCAACCCTATAACTGTAAGTGTTCAACAAATCGTCCTTAGCAACTTAAAATGTATCACACTTTAAGCATTTATATTAAGTAAAAAAATTGAGATATTCCAAGTATTTTTCATCTGCTTGAATATTAGCAAAATATTTATTTTAATCTTCAGCTGAAGCGACTTAGCAACTACCAGTTAGGACTTCGAGACCAGGAAGTAACAAGACCAGCTAGTAACAAGAAAGCTACAAAAGCTGCTGTTTTATAAAATTAGTCTTCTACGTGTGATGTTGATTTTTCGTGGCTTTTTAAAAAATAATTTAGGTGTAAGAAACAATTTAGGCAAGTAATGACAGAATCTATCAGAGACTATAAAAAGAGCACTTTTAGGTAGTTTCATTCTCCATAGGTTATATACATAAATCATGAAGTGTCGTGAGAACATTGGACCAGGATCCAGAAAAATCTGGAATTTATAATCACTTAAAACAATATGACTTTAAGAAAATCTGTTAGTTATCTCTTATTATCTATCTTTCCCATCTATAAAACTAGGTGGCAATATATTTGGATAAGATGACATTGTTAGACACCTTCTATTATAAGAGGCTATCCTTTGTAAAATTCTATGACTCTAAATTATGAAGTACTGTGACTACAGGTGGGGACAGGTATAGTCCCATAACCTCTACACTGTCCCCTGCATGCTGGTACCATCTTCCATACGGCGAGCGTTCTGCACTAGCATTCCTATGGCGTACAGAATCACGACAGTGAAGGTAGTGTGCATGGTGGTCCTTATGAGATGTGCTCTGTTGCCTTATTCTTAAATATTCCCCGTAAAAGCATACCATCCAACTCCTCAGTGTTAAGATATCTAAACAAAATTGACTCCATCTGTACAAAACAGTAATGACACCTGAAAGAATTTTCTAAAAGATAAATAATAGGTACCCAGTGGTCATGTAATGAACTGACTTAGAAAGAGAGACTGAGATTGACAACATCCCAGAGATGTTCTGTCCTACATGATGAATGTGGTGCCTTTGAAGGAGAATCAACTTTCTCATAGTATTAATATTTGCATATATATTATCACAGAACAATGTGCCAAACGGGACTATAGTGGATCAAAGAGTTATTGCAGGTTTGGAAGGTGACAGACTTAACTCTCAGATATTGCTTAATGCCTGGGATCCAGGCCAGGTCGATTTAACCAAGCTTTTACTTTTTAGCCAACGATGATGGTGGTTTGTGCATAGTCTGGATAAATCCCAGAATTCTTTCATGGCCCCAGTGAAATTTGTGTTTTTAAAATTATAGAAAAAATGAAATATATGTTGTGAAACTTTTATCACTCATAAAGAAAAGGGAAAAGCTGTTAAAAATAAAGCTCTCTTGTTTACTAATGTGTTTAGATTTTAGGAGCATTTAGTTAAACTGGGAACAATAAAAATAAAACCTTGTTCTTAACCAACAAAATAACTAGAAAGGAGCTATTATAGCATGCAGGTGCCACCTCGTGTACATTAAGCTCCAGAGTAGCTGCATGGAGAGCAGGGTCTTTAAAGTCCCAAGTATGGGCATATGCCACTGGGGAGGGAAGGCTCTTTGAGGACATTTAGTTTACTACCTTTATTTTTCAGGTACAAAAAAGAAATTAAAGGCCAGAGAAATAAGAATAAATTTAAAAATATTCTCATAGCTAAAACAGCTAAATAATGGTATTGCCCAGCCTCCAGAATCCTAACCAGAATATAAACCACCAATTCTTGATTTAAAAGGTCACTTGTGGATTATTTTTCAAAAAGAAGTAAACTTTTTGTCTTACTTAATATTTCAAAGTAACTTATTCTTCAAGACCATATCAGATTTTCCTAAGAATATGCGTTACCCACAACTGATCACTTCAAACTTTTAAGAAAATCTTTTTCATCTGCCATGATGGTTATGGAAGTATCTATTTATTTAGTTATTTATTTCTCCAGGGTGGCTGTACCATTTTAAATTCTTTTTTAAAAAAATTCAGAATATTACGGGGATACAAATGTTTTCATTATGGTCATTTTGTTATTTTTAGAGGCACAAAGTATTTCTGACCTAGGTTTGCATGCACACAGAAACTTGAAGCTGTACAATTATTAATCAATTGCTTTAATGATTTAAGCCCTGGTTTTTTAAAATCTAAAACTATTCAGAATCTATAAAAAATTATAGCAGATTATTTTCTTGGTTAAATTACTTCATAATCATTGCCTAGATTGTTTTTTTAAAACATGTATTGAAGAATTAGTGCTGAAGGCATTTATTTTCATTACTTATAACATGAAAAGTTATGATTGTGGTATCCAGAAGAGCCAAATGAAGAGACTTCAATTTTTAAAAAAATTACATAGGTGAACTTCAGAATTTGGAAAAGGTTAATGATTCTTAATGGTTTGATTCTCTATACACTATACACAGGCACACACACATGCACACGCACGGTTCTGCATACAGTTCAAGGGTTCAATGGACCTGAGCCCAGTCCAGCATCCCTTCCAGTACACTGTCAATCCCTTCTGGAGATCATCCAGTTCTACCATCCCATTTTACAGATGAGAAATTGAGGTTCCATTAGTATTTGAATGCAGCTTCCTTTACTCCCAGTTTAACATTCACCTAGAACTTCATTTTGAGCACTTCTTCACTCTAGAAAGCACACAGCAATCCACCCGGAGTCCACTTTTGTGTCTCTGTCCCCTGGTTGGCTGCAGAGCTAAACAAAACAAAAACTAGCGCCTTACTTGGAGAACAAGGTCAGTTGGAGCATCCCAGGCACTTGCTTCCCCACGTTGATAAGGTGTGACAGAGAGGAAGTCAGCTGGGAACTTGCCTTTCGGTTCACTCCCCTGGGGCCAAGCAGAGTGACCACTGCCACACCTTGGCTGTCCTGCGTTTGTAGGTGCCCAGTGGACCTGGAGAACACCGGGGCACACTTGCCATCGTGCTTCTCCAGAGGGTTTTGGACAGGAAAATATACAGCAGCTTGGATTTGGACCTTTATTGTTAAGAAAATGAGAAGAAGGGGGGGAAAGGAGAGCAGAGAAAGGGGGTGGAGTGTGGAGAGAAGTGTAGTTTCATCTAATTTCTGGTTCTGAGAGGCCTGAGAGGTCAAGAGCAGTGAGAGATCTAGTACAGCCAGATTTCATGAAGGTTTTAGGTTCTGTCCTACACGCAACCTTACACTGAAACACTTGACCTGGGTCACCCTCCTCCCCATTAAAATCGTATCCCACTGACAGACGTTTCCATTTCCAGGAGTGGCTGGTCATGCATCTGGGTAAGATTTCCTTCATATCTCTTTACATTCCTCCTTCCCAACCTCTGTGAAGCAAACTTAGTAATCAAAGTTTAGAAATAAAGTCATTTAGAGTGGCTGCTCGGATCACTCTTATACCTCTTTCAAAGATGTTTTTTTTTTTTTATTTCAGCGTATTATGGGGGTACAGATTTTAAGGTTTCAATAAATGTCCTTTCCCCCCTCCCCCCACAAGTCTGAGTTTCCCGCATGTTTTTAAATATTCTTTCAAAGTGAAAGGGTAATCAAAAGCTGATGATCTCCATCACAGAAAAATAATTGGTTCAGATTGAAGGAAGAGTTCAAGGTTTTAGGGACAGTTCCCTGTCATATCACCATTATGTAGATCCTCACAGGGACAGGGTAGGGCCAGCTATCCCAGTGTGGAGGGGAGGAGGGCAGTGTAGGGAAGGACTCTGAGACCATTAAAAAAGAGAAATAAGAGTGAAGTCCCAGAATGTAGCTCATTATCCCTTTATGCTACAGAGGAGAACATTCAGGAAAGTGTAAGGTTTTCCTTAAACTTGTTAGGAATGTAGTCTAAAGACTTTGAACCAGGGCCGTATCAACCTCTCACGAGGTTGCCATACTTGAAGACTCTTCAAAATTGGTAATAATTTTTTGAACTGAAACAAAGGTATAAAACAGAGAGGTCGGAGAAGATCCGTTCTGGTTATGGGTGATGAGATCCAGACAGAGCAGTCTAGAAGAAAATAACTTTACAACTAAGAGATGTGATAAATGTGTTGTCTTTGAGTCCAGTATTATCGAAAATGGGTAAGTTTTAAGGGGCAGTTTGAAAATGTTGCCCTTCTCTCCTTTCTGTGAATACCTGCCAACATTAATATCCAACCAAATTGCCATGATTTGGAAATAAGCCAAGATCTATTTCTCATTTGTGATTGCCTTTTGGTATATTGTGTAAAGAGGGTAGAACAGAATCGCATAAACAATTGTTTTAAGGTATACTTGACAAAAACCCCAAAATGCACAAATGTAATTATAACTCGGACAGAATTTTGCTTCTGAGAAAAATGGTTTCTAATAAATAGAAGCAAGTACATTGATCCATAACAGGCACAGAAGGTTGACTGTTCTGTCTCATCCCTTCCTATAAAACGAACTCAGGACTATGGGACAGGATTAATAGATGAGTCCCCTTCACCAGGCAGGCTGGAAAGTCTCCACGGTGTCTGACCCACAGGTGGTTGTTAGAAGGAAGCATCAGGCTACCCTGGAGAACCACAGGGGAGTGTCACAGGCCTCGGCATTTGTCTGACCCAGTCTGTGCTCCTCTGCAGGTCCACGTGGCTGAAGGAACTAGGTTGTGGCTTACCAATTCCTTAGCTACCACAATAGGCATTGGTTGCTTTCTGAGCAATTTGGTGAGAGCAACTGGTGTCATCACAAATGTGGCTCATTTCTAGTGGCTGAGTGTCCGTGTATCACAGCAG